CGATCAACTGTGAGCTTGAGTTCATTCGGCTCAATGAACTGTGAGCTTGAGTTCGTTCGACTCTTTTTTACTAAGGGAATGCTTCAGGAGGTAGTTTCCTGGCCATACCAATACTCAATATAACTCAAAAGTTATCCCCATATACTCAAAAGTTATCCCCATATACTAATAAAAAAGGGTCTTGCAGTCCACCAACCTTGAGAGGTTGATTGCCTTTTAGTATAATATGCAGACTGTTTGCTAAAGGTCGACAGTGAGATTGAAAATTATTGGAGTGTAAAAACCTTATATCATGGTCTGTGGGCAATAGACATAATTTCTCGGATTAGGTACAAAGTGCTTATGGCGTTTGTGAATATGGTAGATCCTGTACTAAAGACTACAGCAATAAACTGCATCAACAACTGTACCAGCCGTCACAGAATATTGTTGTTGCAGACAAACACACTGTCAAATCAAGAAATAGGTTGGGGGTTAGTTCATGAAAGCTAGATGACCTACTATGTGGGGAATAAATCTGTGGGTTGCTGCAGACAATCCTAATAGTGTATATTGCGACTTTGAAATTTATACAGGAAGAAGTCCAGATATTCATCGCAACAGATTTGGGTATGACGTGGTGATCTGATATCAGTTTGGTTACAGTCTTAGGTTTTTTGTAGTACAATATAAAGGAAATATTTTCACCACATAATCCAATTATGTGCTTTGGCAAACATTACTGCTTTAGCAAACATTACTGCCTTGGAAAACATTACTTTTTTATAACTACTAATTATGATGATGCCAGCCCAACAACACTTGGTCATGCTATTTGCAAATATTTTCATGTTCTAGATTGTGAAAAGAATCAATTTCTAAACAAATGAGTAGTGATTATTTCAAATTTGAATAGCATGACCAAATTTTGAGGCTGGTTATGCCACTAATAACTAAAGTCAATGGTGTAATGATTATCTAAGAATGTATGTAGTAATTGTAGAAATAAAGACATTTTGCTAGTCATGATTTGAGTGTTCTTTTGTGGGTATCACCGACTTATTTTGGTGCCATACTATCTTTGGAGGGTAGGAAATATTGGAAATTTGTATTGATATCATGTTGCAGCAATAAAAAAGGACCTTTGATAAAGGTATTTCTTTCATGTGAGCACAAAATGTAAATTTTACTCCACTACCTAGTTTATATAAAAATTCAATAAAAATATTTCTATTTATGCTACATGCATGAAACTTCGGGTACTTGTAGATCATAACCGTGTCTTTCAGTCATATTCATAAAATTTTTTGACATATTTGAAATTTGAACCGCTAAATACATTTATGCATAATTGCAACATTTTTTTATATCATAATTTATGCAAATTTATGCGAGTAAATCGTTAACCAAGCTCCGGATGAAATTGAAATTGGTATCGTTGGAAAGCAGAAGTCCTCCTCTTTCGAACGATGCAATTTCTGTTTCCGTGCGATGTATAGTTTGAGAGATATAAGCGTTTGAAACAACACCACTCGAAATTGCTGCTTTTCGACCGGATGAGAATGAGTTAATGGATTTCTTATATCTTCAACCGGGACTGGAAAGTAGACCATGCCGTGAAATATTTAACAAATATAAAACATTTTCCGTGTTGATATACAGTTATATCAACACTCGTGGAAATTGGGAAAACGAGAAGTTGTGTGGAAACACGACGCCCGAAGGGCGGAGTGTTTTCACACAATTTCGAGTTTTCCCAATTTCCACGAGTGTTGATATAACTGTATATCAATACGGAAAAAAGTTTTATATTTGTTTTATAATATAGCACAAAGAAACATAAAGAAAGAAATTTTCCGACTTTCCGTGTTGACATTGAGTTATATCAACACGGCTTTTAGCCAATCAGCGTTCAGAATTTACAAATGCTATATTATAATGTATATTAGGTGCATGGTGTACGCATATAATGCGTGTGCTGTTTTGTGTCTTTTGTATGTCAATTCATTGGAACTGATATCGTAATTGAAGTATGTACTGTATCAATGCAACGTTATTACTTGGTAAAAGATAGGTGTGATTTGATGATGCACATTTATCACAGGGTCTGATTAGACCATGGTGCGATATTGCAAATTAGGGATTGGTAATAAGACCTGAACAGTCGCTTGTGGTTTTGTGTTGTGTAATTTCCCTGTATCTAATTTAGCAAATGGTTTTCTTAAATCTTCACACGGTATGGAGACCATAAGCAATAACCCATCATTCCTTGCGCGCTCAGAGTTTAAGGTTCAAGTTTTTGTAAGGACAACCTTAATTGAATTAGCTGTATAATTATCTACAAAATCATCCACCCACAAAAATCATTCCACCATATTATATTTATAAACCATGTAAAAAATTGTCAGTCTTAAAACTGTTAGTACTTAGTAGTAGACAAAAGGATGCGAACCGATTATTGAAATCGGTGTATTATGAATTATTATACAAAGACAAAGTGTTAAAATGATGATGTTGAAATATTCCTGCCATATAAGGGAAAGTACATTTATTAAGGCTAGGGGGGATGAAGATGTTAAGGGGGGGCACCGAAATATTTTCTGGTATTAAAGGGGGAAGGGGCTCTGAAAGTTCTCGATATACTGAAGGGGGGGGGGGCTCTAAACTTTTCAACGTTTTGGTCCAGCAGGGGCCTGGAGTGTTCGCTCCCACCATAGTTAATAGAATAGATGGTTTGGAAACTCATTAGAATAACAATATAACTCATTACCCATGTTAGTGAATAACATTCATAGATCTGGTCTTTTACCTTCACGTGAGACGTATTGTATTTTTGCCCCACTAACCAATAGCAATGTTTTAGGAAAGTTGCCTATCTACGACTCAAACAATATGATAAATTGAAAATTGCGGTGAAAGAATATATTTATGAATAAATGTTGACTAACATAGATAATGAGTTATAATGCTATTCTAATGATTTCCAAACTGTCTATACTATATTAATTAACTGACATTGGGGGAGCTCCATATGGAATACGTAAAAGAAGGCTGCAACACGCCTGTCAAAAACGCATGCAAAAGCACCAATATGTTTCAACTTTTGAAATTTTCATTCTGTTTCTACCAAATTTTCCATGAATATAGAACATATCGTTCTTACAAATCGTTTTTTGTTTTGTTTTTGGAATTGCTAATTTTGGCGGGTAAATTATGTCACAAACGTGGCGCCAAAAAATTAAAATAAGCTATTGGTGATTTTACTGAATCCATTTGTAGAGTGGACCAAGGGTACTTTAATTAATTAAACTGAAATCTGTTTCTAAATACAACCATTTTATGGGAAGATATAGCGATACAAGTGTCGAAAAATCGGCCATATTGTTACTAAAAATAGAACAAAATGGTGGATTTTTAGAAAATTAAGTCATTATATCTTCGCAAGGAATGGTTGTCAGGGACGTAGCAACTGGGGGTTGTGGGAGGAGGGTGTAAGGTTCCCCCTACTGTGAAATTCAGGCAAAAATTATGTAAAATTCAAGTTTAAATTTTGACATTTTCAGGTAAAATTTGTGTAATAAAGTAATTATTTTTGCGAAATGATAACCATTTTTGTAAAATACAGTCCATTTACATGCAATTTGTTTGCGAGTTTGCTTTAGAAAACGCCGGAAATTCAGTCCTAGAGCTTCAAAAATGTAAAAATTTTCTGGGGGAGGACCCCCAGACCCCCCTTTTCTCCCAAAACTTAGTATGAGAGTGCCAATCAATCACAAAAAGCTTTATTATAATTATTACACGTATAATCCTCCAACATCCCCCCTCCAAACGTCAGATGCTTTGCTACGTCCCTGATGGTTGTATTTGAAACCGATGTCAGTTTAAGATATCCTTAGTCTGTTCTTCCAAAAACAAAAAAAGCATGCGATTTGTAATAATAATATGTTCTGTGTTCATGGGATATTTAGTACAAACGGGATAAAAAGTAAAGAAATTGGAGCATACTGGCGATTTTGACAGGAATGCAAAGACATTTGCAACAGATGCCAGGTGATATTATTGTCAATTTCATTCATTCTGAAAGCTGGGGGGGGCATTGAAAATTTTAAAAACTTGAAGGGGGGGCTTCGAAAATTTTCCAATAACCTCAACAGGGGCCCTGAAAAAAAATGTGCGTTTTTCAAGACATCTTCATCCCCCCCCGCCGCCCCCTCGGCGTAATAAATGTACTTTCCCTTATCAGGAAGCAATTCATGATCCGGCTTAAAGGGTAACTTAATTTTCTGCTTGTTTTTTAAGGTAGTAATATAACCACTCAGCACAGCATTTTCTCATTGGTACTACCCACACTGGTACAGACAGTTTTAGTATAACTTAACTACATAACGAGTACCATTGTGCATTATATTTTCTTTAAATTTACTAGTAACGCAATCCGTAGAAGGCTCTACATTCTCAACATCCCCAAACTTCTGTAACTCTTGTCGTAAATCACTACCCTCATCTACATGTTCCACTGTAGTTCGTAGCAAATGTGTCTCGAAACAGTGCATATCAGACGAAGCTGAACCTAAACGACCACTCATTACCCAGCCTACTTTCGTACTACTAGCTACAGAACCGTCCTTACTTCTAATTACTTCACCAGTCATGAATACACGGCTAAAACGCACAGGTTGTTGCAAGTTGATGTCGACTGGCCGAGAGGCGTGAACAATGTTGTGCGGCCAACTATGAAGAAGTTGTCAACCATGTTGTTCCAAGTTGTTACAGTTGAACAATGCTGTAACAACATATTGACAATACTGTTCATAGTGGGCCGCACAACCTTGTTCACGCCTGTCGATATCAACTTGCAACAAGTTGTTGATTTTCTCAATTTTTAAGCGTGTATATGATAGTAATCAATACCAATGCCTACTAGTAAATTTGTGGAATCTTGATGTTCAAAGTCTGCAAATTGCAATCCTCGGAACTCAGACAATCCTTGTACACTAGACAGATTTTGATTTGTTAGTGGGCTATGTTGACCCCTGACAGGCTGCGTGACCCTTGACAACAACAACGACGACGACGATGACGACCACAACAACAACAACAGCAGCAGAAACAGCAGCAACAACAGCAACAACAGCAACAACAGCAACAACAGCAGCAACAGCAACAACAGCAGCAACAGCAACAACAGCAGCAACAGCAACAACAGCAACAACAGCAACAACAGCAACAATAATAATAATAATAGTAATAATAATAATAATAATAATAATAATAATAATAATAATAATGAAAACTTTATTAATAGAACATTTGTAGATATATACAATTGTAAATCTCACTTCTTGAGGTAACCTACAATTGCCTACTTGAATCACTTATACATGGTTATAATTTTATATACAAAAATTTGTTAATTATTTATTGAAATAGTTACTTTAAATGTTCATTAGTTCGGGATTTATCCATTCTTTATTTCTACAGCAAAATATGTAGTACGTTGATCGGATGGCAATATATATCATTTTTCTGATACAATATTGTTGGTGTTGATTATCCAGTCCTAACTCATTTAGCATTTTTACGAATGTATGACATTCTTTGTCAAACACCCCTAGCGAACTGACAGAAAGATTTATAAACTTAACAGATATAAAGTTTTGATCCAGTTCTCTAATTAGGTTCTTGTATTTAGCTTTCTTGCGGTTAACATTGTTTGTGAGGTTTGATTCAAAGCCTACAGTAAGTTCAACAACGTAGAGGTGTTTGTCTGAAGTGGAGACAAGTAAATCAGGACGATATTCATCTCCCGTAATAATCGAGGGGCTTTCAAATCCAGGAAGATCAACAAGTAATTTGCATTTGTTTAAACTCTGAAAAGTTTTTGCAAGAAAGTTTAGTATGCAATCGTGTCTCCAAGTGAATCGTTCCAAGTAATGTTGACAACCGGTAACAACGTGTAGAAGTGATTCAGGGTGTAAGCAGAACGAGCAGTCAGAACTTGATGAAATTCCCCATCTACTGAGGTTCTTTTGGGTAGGAAGGGTATTATTTATATAGCGAATTGTAAAGTTGAAAATGTTCTTTGGTAGCTTTGATTGCGATACCGACCAAGTTGCGTTAAGTTGTGACAGGGAGAATTTAGAAACATTTTCGAAAAAGGAACCTTGACATTTCAAACGGTTCCTAAGTTTATTTTCTTGTTGAGAATGGAAAGTTTTTAAAACTTCTTTAGTGGAGTTGTAGCTATCGTATTGAATGTTAGTATGATTATTAGTTGACTTCCACAGTTCGTTTATTGAATCGTTTGGAGATGTTTTTAGGGCATTGCGTAGAACTGTTTGACACTGAATGAATTTGACTGATGCAGGGAGGATAGTTAGACCAAACTTATAATAATAATAATAATAATAATAATAATAATAATAATAATAATAATAATAATAATAATAATAATAATAATAATAATAATAATAATAATAATAATAATAATAATAATATTAATAATAATAATAATAATAATAATAATAATAATAATAATAATAATAATAATAATAATAGTAATAATAATAATAGTAATAGTAATAATAATAATAGTAATAATAATAATAGTAATAATAATAATAATAATAATAATAATAATAAAAAATAATAAAATAATAAAATAATAAAATAATAAAATAATAAAAATAATAAAAATAATAAAAATAATAAATATAATAAAAATAATTGAATAATAATAATAATAATAATTTATAACAATAACAATAACAATAACAATAACAATAACAATAACAATAACAATAACAATAACAATAACAATAACAATAACAATAACAATAACAATGACAATGACAATGACAATAACAACAATAATAACAACAACAACAACAACAACAACAACAACAACAACAACAACAACAACAACAACAACAACAACAACAACAACAACAACAACAACAACAACAACAACAACAACAACAACAACAACAACAATAACAACAACATTAACAATAACAATAACAATAACAATAACAATAACAATAACCATAACCATAACAATAACAATAACCATAACAATAACCATAACAATAACAATAACAATAACAATAACCATAACAATAACAATAACAATAACAATAACAATAACAATAACAATAACAATAACAATAACAATAACAATAACAATAACAATAACAATAACAATAACAATAACAATAACAATAACAATAACAATAACAATAACAATAACAATAACAATAAATGCGTGTAATAAATAATTATATATGCGTGTATTCAATAGTAATCGTATATAAAAGACATAGCATTGCAGTCGCTTTCCTGCTCTGGTTCCCAACGAAGTATACCCTTAAAATTACGTTAGTTTAGCATTTGCCTTACTTATTTACGCGACGGAATAACTTTAAAAGAAGCCGGACTAATTTCAATAGTATAATCATGCGGTATATTTCAAGTTAAACGATTGCAATTTTTACATGAAGTATATTTAATAACCTCTAAAGCACGAATTACAGCGTTTGTAATAAGTGTACCAGGTTTTGTAAGTTCAAGCCCAACTATTGTTTATCTTTTTGCTTGCCTTTTAATAAAATTATGTCAGTTTAGCATTTGTCTAACTTTTTTACGAAACGGGCTAACTTTAGAAGAAGCCGGGCTAATTTCAATAGACGCCGGGCTAATTTCAATGGAAGCCGGGCTAATTTCAATAGAGGACGGGCTAATTTCAATAGAGAACGGGCTAATTTCAATAGAATCTTCAGGAGAGCATGATGTATATTTTGAAGTTTAACGATTGCATTTTTTACTTGAAGTATCTAATAACCTCTAAAGCACAAATTACAGCGTTTGTAATAAGTGTGCAAGGTTTTGTAAGTTCAAGCCCAACCATTGCTTATATTTTGCTTGCCTTTTAATAAAATTATGTCAGTTTAGCATTTGCCTAACTTTTTTACGAAACGGGCTAACTTTAAGAGAGACCAGGCTAATTTCAATGGAAGCCGGGCCAATTTCAATAGAGGACGGGCTAATTTCAATAGGCCCTTTCAAGGTTTATTCCGCCATATTGCCGGGGGTGCAAAACATTGGGGCGAGCGCGCGGCCAAGCCATGGCTGCCATATATTTTACTATTGAGTGAGCGATAATTTTGAGTGGACATTTTGTTGATTTTCTCGTGCTATATTAAAAGATAGTCCAAATGTTTGTATTCTGGCTGATCTGCGCGTATTTTCAAACTACTGGTAAAGATTTCAATGGAATCTGATTGGGGGAAATCTGTGAATATGCTGATTTCTTCGACACCTTTCGGCGAGCTGTTTACAGTGGATTCACGACAACTAAACGCCGAAAACAGGGCTTTTACGTCGCTGTTTGTTTAAACAAAACAACATTACAAAAGAATCATGTTTAAAAACAATACAACAAAGCCATCGGGAAAGAAGAAAGACGTCCAGGTGCGAGAATGTAACCTGATACCAATGTCAATCTCACCTTTGATTATATGACATACTATTAGTAATTACAGTATTAGATATAAGAGATAAATTCTAAAAGTAGGCGAATCCAAAGGGTATATAACATTGAGAGTTTCAGTTGTTCTCATTGGCAGTACCACCCTTATAGCCAACTGAGAGCAAAACACAAGCAGAAGGAACAGTATCTACAATGCAGTTCAATAATCTTAAAAACCTGCCTGAAGTATTTGATAAATTTTTGTGACTATCAATCAAATTCATCAAAATAGCTCAAGAAACTCATCAAAACTTCACAAGTGGTATAAAAGAACAAATTATGTAAAACATATTCTCTCTAATAATGGAGTTGATGTATGGAACTCACTAGAATAAAAAATAAAGACATAAACTCTCAATACATCTTCATAAAACAAATTCAGCAGCATTTTTTGATGAAAACATTCTATTTGCACATTATTCTATTTGCATATTATTGTACCTCTATTACTCTGAAAATGCTCTCTCTGATTTGACTGTAAAATAAAATAAAATAATATGTTATAAATCTAACAGTTAACTATAAACCTTTACTAGGGGCCTAAAGCAAAAAGCCTAACAAAGTATCTAGTAGGTCTTTAGCCCAAATTAATATAAGGAAAAATATGTAAATATTAATTGTCTATGGAACTGTACATAGGGGATAAAAATTAAAACTAAATAAATAAATAAATAATAAAGAAACTCTTTCATTGGTAATATTTCTGTCCTCATGTTTTCTGGGGTCAAATTCTTTCCTCAC